TGAAGCAATCCTGACCATACAGACTCTTCTAATACCTGCCAATCATGCCAATTACAATTATTAGAACACAAAATCAATTGATCTTTTCTGAGAAGTAATAATGAGCCAAATGTAGAAGTATTACCTTCAAGCACGGTTTAGACAGGTCTGCACCTGTTAACACCTAGTGTGGAGTTAAAACTCTCAACAAAATTAGAGGTGTTTTAGTCATTGCACACATTTGGATTGAACTTATGTTTGCTCCCACTAGTAGAAAAGCTTAAATGAGCACCGCCAAATGCGCACCGAATTTTAAAAACCGATACGAAAAAAAATAGGCGGGATTGAGGGAAAGAGTTTTTACACTGGTTCTAACCAAACCGGTGCGAAAAATGAGTTAATCGCACCGGTTCGGTTCGAACCGGTGCAAAAGCTATTGTTAAATAAAAAAAAACTGGTCATACTCTTTCTTTCTCTTCCATTTCCTCGATCTTTCCTCCTCTCTCATCTGCCTCTCTCTCCTCCATTGAAGCGTACTCGAAATTCTCCGTCAATTTTTCCTTCTTTCTATTTCCCCTCTTCGTTCTTTCTGTTTCCCCTCTTCCTTCTTATCTCTCTCTCTTCTCAAACAAACCCTATTCTACTGAAGAAATCAGCCTTGAACGACCTGATGCCCTCCTTCGAAAACCGGCGTCAATTCAAACCGGACAACCATCATCGCCACCGCCATCTATTTTTTAAATCTACAATATTGGAGGATAAGGTTTCTTGGTGCGTCTATTTTGAATCAATTCGATGTGCGTGCATCTTCAACAACAACAAATTCGAATCAATTTCAAACCAAAAATCAGAAATTCGAGGTTAGGGTTTCTAGGTTATTTAGCTTTGCGAATATTTTGGTCTTTTGGTCCAATTATTCATGTTAAATGCTTTGAAATTTTGGGTTTAATTGATGTAATATTGTTCGAAATTTGTTGAAGATGGCTAGAGAAACTAATACCAAAAACAATGGAGGTAACAATGCTTTTAATGAAGATAAGAAGCCTGCTCTTGATCAATATACTCATATCAATCTCAAGGTTAAAGGTCAGGTAATTATTTTTAATTTTTTTTGGTGATTTTTTTTATTTTTCTGTGAATAGAGGAATGCTTCTATTATACTCAAAAACATGTTGATTCATTCCTTAAAACATTGACTCCCCTTGGCCTCGTTGGTAGTACGAATCTAGGGATAAGGGTCCATATATGAGCAAAAAAACCTGGAATGCTCTTGGTGAAGTCTTCCGGACCATTGATGATGAGGAAGCTGGTAGGAGGGAAGATATCAAACGGCGAGGCAAGAGGGCCCTTGATTTCAGTGACGAACCTTCTCATGGTAAAGGTGAGAGTTCTTCTGCTCAGAAGAAGCCCAGATATGAGGTAGCTAAGCCCCCTCCCTCACTAGAATCAGATATCGCCGTCGCACGATGTTGGTTGCTCGTAGTAGAATTCGTGGTGTCAAGATCTCTAAGGTTATTGAGATCTCTAATGATGAGTCCCCTATTGCACCTGATGTGGGGGGGGGGGTTAATCCTCCACAAGTTGCTAGTGTTAAGGCCCAGCCTGTGGTTGGAGGTGTTGCCCTGCCTATGGTTGGTCTTGAGGCTCAAGGTGGAGACTTTGCAGACGTAGATGGAGGAGGCCCTGTTGAGGACTCAGAAGATGAGTTGGGAGTTGTTCTTTCCCCAACTAAATGAAAGCTTTAGTAACGATCTCTAACCCTACCTTTTTTCATTTAATCTATGAGTTTTGTTTGAGTCCCTGTATAGGTGTTGCCTGATGTTGTTTATTGTTGAAAGTGTTAATTTTAATGTGTTTTGGTGATGGTGTTGCCTCTTGAGTTCCTTTGGTTTGTGATGGTTGTTTGAGTTCATTAATTTGTTGTTGATCTTATTGTTGATCTGATTGTTGATGGTTCTGTTGTTGATTGTTGCTGGTATTTTAAGGGTTGATTGTTGCTGGTGTTGCTGTTGTCATGGTTGTTCTGGTTCTGTGCTTGGTGACTGATGAGACCCTGCTGTTGTGTGGTAAGCTAGGAAATGTGATTAATAAATGATGAGAATTTGTGTTGATTTTCTATGATTTGTTTTCAATTACCTGTTTGAGAGAACATTTGGGTGAAAAAAAAAATTGATTTCAATCCCCCTGGCCCTGTGTGATTTGAGTCCCCTTGTTGTGAAAATGAGTCCCTTTTTTTCGGGTTTTCATGTGTGGTTTTGATTTCCATGTGATGAAGGGATTCATTTGATCCATTGTTGTTAAGTGTGTTAAGCTCCAACAGATTCTTGTCAAAGATATGTTGTCGAGGAAATCACTTTAAGATTATGTGTTGATAAAAAATAAACCTTCTGAAAGAATGGTTTGAGTGATATGTTTAACTTGGGTAATGGAACAAATTAATGACACAATAACATGAGTCTTATTGCTTGATCGAAAGCATGAATTTCATTACTTTAGTTCCATTACAAAAAGTGATTCCTTTAAACATGACTTCCCTAGACTACTTTCTCTTCCTAATAAGCAAAATACACATACCAACAAATAAAAAAAAAAAAACATAACTTACATCATATTATACTCAAACGTTTGTGGTTATGTGTGGCAGTCCATGTGTTGCTCTTCAATTGTTCTGCCTGGTCAATCTAACCTACATCTACCTCAATTTGTGTGTCTTTCTCTTATTGCTGGTCCACATGCCTGAAAATTGTGTTGAGGTAGTCCACTACCTGATTAACAATATCCTTGCTGACCTCTAGTAGTTATAGAAGCATTCCTCTATTTTGTTGTCACTTGTGAGCAGCTTTTGATGCAACTTTAGAATATATTTTTGAGTTCCCCATGCTGATTTAGGTGAGTATATTTGTAAAAACACTTGTATAGATTTTTGGAGCTCGTGTTTCTTTGCATCATATGGACTATCTTCAATGATTTCACGAGCACCTATTTGCTATTGAATTATGTGTGATTGTGCCTCTTAAACCTCTTTGCACAGTTCTTTATCCAAACCTGATAGAATTTTCTGGTCATACTCAGATTTTTGCAAATTCGGACATGAAGATGGATGTAGAGATTCCAGTAGATTAAGCATGCACTTGAAAGAAGGCACTTATTAATAATCAGAAACAAATGTTGCTAGAATGTGTTTTGGAGCAACTGTGAATTGTATATTAATATGAACACACTATATCATGCAACAACAAACGGATAAGCAACCAATCAGTGTTTCTGATTAGTTGCTTCATTGAATTGGGTTTAGATTTTTTTTTTCTTTTTTTAAAAAAAATATATTGTGAAGTTGTCAATTTCTTTTTCTAGTGCGAAGTGCATCATTAGTTATTAGCTAACAGCCTTCAGGGCAGTATCTTCATAGCATACACTGGGTACATGCACATTTACAACCTTTTTTAATAAAAATATGTAACTTTATATATATATTAGTGTTTCTATATCAATTTAAGTGAAAAAAATGCAATTTTTATTTTTTATTTTTTATTTTGTTGGGGCATTTTTGGCACCGGTTTTGAAACAGAACCGGTGCTAAAAGTTTTTATTTTTTATTTTTTTGGGCCATTTTTCGCACCGGGTTCACAGTAAGAACCGGTGCTAAAAGTTTTTTTTAAAATTTTTTTGGGCTACTTTTCGCACCGGTTCTTGCTGTGAACCGGTGCGAAATCTAAGTTTTCGCACCGGTTAAAAATCGGTGCGAAATCTTTTGGTTTTTGGCATCCCTCAAATAAGGACCGGTTCAAAACCGGTGCGAAATGGGGGTTTTGAACCGGTGCCCATTTGTATTTTTCGCCTAGTGTCCATTTTGATTAATCTCCTAAATCAGCAAACCAAGTCATAACATCATCTCCGCCTTCCTTTTGCAACTTTTCCATTGCTTTTCTGAAGGTGAACTTATTTGTTGCATTGCATAGCCTCCAGAACAAAGTATACATGAAAGCACCTAGGAAATCTTTTTTGTAATTCCTGCTCAAATGTCTGGAGCAATACCTCCTTTTTGCATCAGGCCATACTTGTGTCAGAGAAAGATCAACTTCTTGTTGGTGCAAGCCAAAAATTCTCTGGGTTTGGTACTAAAAAGTTATGTACAGAAAAGCTAATTTCAACAGGTAAGAAATGTATACCTTTTTTCTATCAGATAAAATGTCCAATGTTGTCTGCTTGACAGCTTGACTATGTTGTAAAGATGCCAGAAGACATAAGCCCAACTTTCTTTGTCTTCAGCTCTCACTATGGCATATGCTATTGGATAAAATTCATTGTTGCCATCTAATGCAACTGCAGACAACAGAATACCACCATAGTTGCCCTTCAAATGTGCTCCATCAACCCCAATCAAAGGCCTACAACCTCCCAAAAACCCTTCCATTTTCCAGCAAAACTTATGAAAATACTTGAGAACAGAATGACCCTAGGAATGCTTTCACTCAGTTCCCAAGCTACAAATGCCTTTGACTCAGGATTAGTTAAGCATATCATGTCAGCATACCTTGGCATAAGAGTGTAAGACTCATCATGACCACCAAACAGCTCTTGAATCACATACCTCTTCAGCTTGTACAATGAAGCTTGTTTCATATATATTCCAAACCTCTGACATAGGAGTTCATTCAATGCTTTGCTTGGAATGTCTGGATCAGCCCTAATATCTTCCATCACCTCAGAAGCATCCCACTTCACAGTACAAATAGGGTTGTAGGTTTCCAAACCCCTACAATTATGAACATCTGGCCATATTTTCTTTATTGCCCATTTCTTACCATCAACTAACCTACTGGCATGTAATCTCCACTCACAACACTCTGCATAACATTGCACAGTGTATCTCTTATTGTCTGTAGCAACAACATGTAAAGCAAAACCTTCCTACACTGCATAATCTTTCAAAGTTTCCCTTAAATGAGCCTTGTCTGTGAAAATCATTCAGGATCTAAGTACAATCATCCCAAGTTTCACCTCTTCATACATTTCACCATGCCCATACAGCTTGATAGAGTCATAAAATATAATATTTATATATATATTAAACTCTTGATTTTATATTGATATTTGATGGTTTAAAGATATATTACGTAATTTTCTTATCTAGACACGAGCTACTACTATTTATTTTTATTGTTTGTAGGAAAGAAAATATTGGCATCAAATTGCATATTACGACACTCCGGTTAAGAGAAGCAAAGTTTATAAGCCCGTTGACTCTCAACTATTTCAAGCCCAATATTGTTTCATTGTGTAAGCTATAACAGTTGGGCATTGAAGTATAACAATCTGTCACATAACATATTAGAAAGAGGAGAGCAGCTCAAACTCTTCATTGTTCTCACTATTCTTGCGGGTAAGCCAAAGAGTAAATCCCTTGAGCAAGATTGACGGTTATCAATTTTTCAAGCAAGAAAAGATAGAGATGAAATCAGATAAGGATGAGAGCGTTCGGGATCAAAGATTCCAAGTGATAAGATTGGGATGCCGAATTAGAAGGAAAAGGCATTTTCAGATTGGAAGTTCTACATATATTTGGGCTGATTTGGGTAACGAATTATAGAGGAGGGAGGCCGAATTGCATGCGAAAAGAAGACCAGGAACAACGAACTCTAGGGGAAGCTGAACTCAGCGACAGAGGAACCGAGGTGGTTGTAGCTCTTAGTTTGCTACGAAACTGATTTGGGGATTTAGATCAGCTACAACGAAGCAGAAAAAGGATTTGAGTTTTATTTTGGGGGTCTTCTGGGCTAGGTTCAGGGTAGCAAATTGATGAGATTCATCTGAATTTTGCGAGGTACCTAGCGAGTAGGAGGGTAAGCAAAAACGGACTCTTCGAGGTGACTCAGTTCAGCTTGTGTTTACTCTGATTCTCACTAAAAGATTTGGTACTGTAATTATGCTTTCATTTTCTTTTCATTTGATTGTTAGCCTTGGTTTATCTTGGATTAGTAGTAGGATAAGTTTTGCTTTGGAGAATAAAAATGAAAGTTAGTGCTATCACTTTGTTATTTTGTTCTTGAATGCGTCCGTATGCTAGCTGGTATACATCTTGGTAGATTATTTTAAATACTAGTTTTATTTTCATTTATTTTCTTTGTTAATTAGTTTGATTGTGAATTTTATGTATTTTATTATAGTTAACTCAATATTTGTTATGTCAGGCTAAATTATTAGTGGGGTAGGGAGATCAATTATGCATTGGATTATTGGTTTTGTGAGTATAGATATGTTGTAATTCTTGGGTATTATGTTTATATCTTGATTTGATTGATAGTCTATTTTATTGGTATGAATTGGTTGAATTATATTTTAGATCGGCCATCTTTAATATAATCTACTAGTTTGATTGCTAGGATTATAACTTGTGGTACGTAATTGTCCTTGTTGATTTTCCTTGGTAGCAATTAGGTGTTTAATAGGTGACTAAAGCTTGTTATAATGCCTAAGATTATTAACCCTCTGAGTTTCACGAGTCCGAGCTTGTGAGATCTGTGGCTTAAGTTAACTACTCCCTTGTTATTAACGCTACTAATTAATCGAGTCTAGAGAGCTTGTTCTAGATTATTAGTTGGTAAGACAATATTCCAAGAGCTTGTTTGGTTTATTTGCAATTAAAGGAAGTTGCGAATGGTTGTTTGCGTTCATTAGTTAACATTAAGATATAGTCATGATTATATATAATATAATGATCAATTGATACTCCAATGCTATAATACGTCTCCCGATTCCCTATTTCATTATTCTTGATTTTATAGTATCTTAATTTTATTAGTTTATTTCTCCGTACTTTATTTGTTTTCTAGTTAATAGTTTATTTTTTGGATCATATTTTCCTTATTCAAAACAGGGGTTTCTAACTTACACAAGTGACAATTTGATAATCCAATTCTCTGTGGGATCGACCCTAGCTTATCCTACTACATTTTAAGAGGTTTTAGTTAGGTTTATTTTTGGTAGACACGCGACAGTCATACCAAATTTTGGCGCCGTTGCCGGGGAATTGGCGTTTTATTTTATTACTTCTTGTGTTTTTCTAATTGTTCTTACTAACTTGTCACCTAGTTCCTTGTTCTTATATGTGTCACAAAAAATTGAAACATCAAAGATTGAGAAATGTTGCAGCAAGGAACCAAGGACTTATAATGCCATCCTTTTTCTACTCTTCCTGTAGCTAAAAGGACTCGTGCTCAAATACTGGAGCAAGCTCGTCATATTCCATTACCTTACAATGAAAGTTCATTTTCGGACGAGGAGGGTGAATATATTTTTGAGATGGGTGATCAAATACTAAAGCAGCTCGCAGCTCCAAACCGTTTGATCCAAATTTTCGGACGAGGAGGGTGAATATATTTTTGAAACCGGCTAGGGTCACCCTCGACCAAACCTCAAGTTAAAGGCATTTCCTTTTGCCTTGTCTGATGCTGCTGAGTGGTTGTTTGAAGTACCTGTTGGAACCATCACAACATGGGATCAAATTCTAAAAGTATTCGCAGAAAGATATTTTCCAGCATCTTTGATAGCTAATATCAGGAAAGAAATATGTGGAATTCGACAAGACGATGCAGAAACACTTCACAAGTACTGGGAGCGTTTCAAGAAAATATGTGATAATTGTCCAAACCATCAGATCAGTGAGCAATTATTAGTATAGTACTTTTACGAAGGACTTAGGAAGATAGATAGGAATTTAGTTGATGCATCATGTGGTGGAGCACTGGTTGACAAAACACCCTCGGATGCAAAGAAACTGATTGCAAATATGGCTGCAAACTCTCAGTATCGAGGAGGTTGAAATATCAAGTCCACTTCTGTACGTCAATTTAATGAAGTGGTGAGTTCTAACCTCGAGCAACAAGTAGCTAAACTCACTTCCTTAGTGGAGCGAGTAATGATCGAAAAAGGGCAAGAAAAAGCATGTGGCCTCTAATCAATGGTAGGACACCCAACTGATATGTGCCCTACTATGCAAGAAGAACAAGTGAATTCTATTGGTGGTGGTCAGGGGCAGCAAAGACGTTATGATCCGTTCTCTCAGACTTATAATCCGGGGTGAAGAGATCATCCAAACCTGAGATATGGTAATGCTCAGCAGCAGGCAGGCAACTCTAACCTCAGACCACCAGCTTTCCAGCAACAGCAAGCATCTAATCCCCCACTTGGTTTTCATCAGCAACCACAATATCAGCCGCGACCTCAACATCAGCAAGTTTCCAAGCCACAATCTGGTAGCATGTCTCCGGAAGATATCGTGAAGGCAATGGCTGACAACACTTTGCATTTTCAGCAAGAGACAAGAAGTGGTCTAAAGAACTTGGAGAACCAAGTTTCTTAGTTAGCTAACACATTGGGAAAGCTCCAAGCTCAGAACTCTAACAAGCTTCCGAGCCAACCAAAGAGAAATCCAAAGGAGAACACGAGTGCAATATCACTTAGAAGTGGCAAGCAATTAGAGATCCCAGCGAAAAATACTGAGGGGCTGGCTAAACACCAAGAGGAGAACAGGAGACTATTGTTCCAGAGCAAGATAAGCAGCCCCCTAAGATAAGTGATGTTGTTTCTCCTAATACTAATCAGTTTTCTTCTTCTGTTCCATTTCCTAGCAGGTTATCATCTAAGAATAAGAAGAAAGAGACCCTAGAAATTTTTCGCAAGGTTGAGGTGAACATACCTCTACTGGAAGCTATAAGACAAGTGTCGCGGTATGCAAAGTTCTTGAAGGAGTTGTGCACTAACAAGAGGAGATTGAGTGGAGATGAAAAGGTCAGTGTAAGTGAGAATGTGTCTGCTGTGTTATAGAGGAAAGTTCCTCCAAAGTGCAAGGATCCAGGTATTTTTACTATACCCCGTAAAATAGGTAACACGAGATACAATAAATGCATGCTAGAATTAGGAGCTTCTATTAATGTCATGCCTTTATATATCTATAAATCTCTGAACTTAGGACCTTTGAAAGACACTCGAGTGATTATTCAGCTTGCCAACCGTTCTAATACATACCCTGTAGGAGTAGTTGAGGATGTCTTAGTGCAAGTGAATGAAATGGTATTTCCTGCTGACTTTTATGTTTTAGATATGCCAAATGATGAATCCCCTAGTGCAGCACCTATCTTATTAGGAAGACCTTTTCTAAAAACATCCAGAACTAAAATTAATGTTCACAGTGGGGTGTTGACCATGGAATTCGATGGGGAGATTATCTGGTTTGATTTATTTGATGCCATGAGATACCCCTTTGATTTTGAATCTGTTTCTAGTATAGATGTCATTGATGCACTAATTGAGCAAGTATTTTGTCTCTTTGGTCATGATAGGTTAGATATTGTTTTGACTGAACCTGTGGAAAAAGAGAAATATACTGACTTGTAGGAACATTTTGAGCTTGAAAACGAGATCAAGGAAGCTTTCTCTTCCTTGGAAGTGCTTCCAAATAAGCAAGGAAGGTATGGAGATCGTTTTATGAAATTGCCTGTCACATCTAATAGATTTCTGCCTTCTATTGTGCAGGAACTAAAGCCACCGCCAGACCATCTCAAGTATGCATTTTTGGGAGAAAATGATACTCTGCCAGTCATAATCGCGAGTAATCTAACTCCGACTCAAGAGCAAAAGCTAGTGCAAGTTCTCAAGGAGCATAAAACAACTCTAGGGTGGACGGTTGCTGATATAAAAGGAATTAGTCCCTCTATGTGCCAACATAGAATCTTATTAGAAGAGGGAGCTAAACCTGTGAGACAAGTGCAAAGGCGACTTAATCCACCTATGATGGAAGTGGTGAAGAAAGAAGTAATGAAGCTTCTTGAAGTAGGGATGATATACCCTATATCAGATAGCCCTTGGGTCAGCCCCTTGCAAGTGGTCCCAAAAAAGTCAGGAGTCACAGTGGTAGAAAACGATAAGGGAGAAATGTTTCCCACACGAGTTCAAAATGGGTGAAGAGTTTGTGTAGATTACAGGAAACTTAATTCTATGACTCTAAAAGATCATTTTCCCT